TGCTCTGTCACCCAGGCTAAAGTGCAGTGGCACCATCTCAGCTCACTGCGACCTCCACCTCCCAGGTTCAAGCGATTCTCATGCCTCAGTCTCCCGAGTAGCTGGGATTACAGACGTGTGCCACCACACCAAGCTAATTTTTATATTTTCAGTAGAGATGGTTTCACCATGGTGGCCAGGCTGGTCTCGAACTCCTGACCTCAGGTGATCCACCCACCTTGACCTCCCCAAATGCTCACACCCAAATTACAGGTGTGAGCCACTGTACCCAGCCTGAATTATCCTTTTTTGATATATATTGTTGGATCTGATTTGCTAAAATTCTTTTTAGAATTTTTGTATTGTTTTCATGAGGAATGTCTGTGTAATTTTCTTTTCCTTTAATACTCAGTCTAGTTTTGGTATTAGTGTAATGCTCCCTCATACAATAAGTTGGGAGATAGTCCCCTTCTTTATATTTTTCTAGAAGATTTTATGTACAATTAGAATTATTTCTTCCTTAAATATCTGGTAGAATTCAACACTAACACCATCTCTGTTCTTGGTTTCAATGGTGGGAAGGTTTCCAAGTATAAATTTATTTTTTTAATTGATATACAGCTTTTATGGCTGTGTATTTACTCTTTATAGCACTTTGGTAGTTTGAGTCTTTCAAGGAATTCTTCCATTTCTGCCAACTTGTCAAATTTATTGGCATAAAATGTTCACATTCCTTTAGTGATACTGATTAAAACTGAGGTGTTATCACCTTCTCCACTGATGAGCCCTGTAATCTGCCGGCTCACTCGCTCACTCTCTCCAACTCCCTCTCTCCTTCCCTCCCTCTCACCTTATCAGTCTTGATAGACATTTATTAATTTTACTGGTATTTCCAAAGAACCAGCTTGTGGTTTCATTCGTTACTACTTTTATGTTTTCTGGTTCATTGATTAATACTCTGATTTTTTTTTCTGTTTTCTTTAGGTTTTATTGCTCTTCTTTTTCTATTTTCTTAAATTAGAAGGTGAGGCAATTGATTGGAAGCCTTTTTTCTTTATTAATATAGACCTATACTGCTAACTATTGTCACTTAAATACTGCTATAGTTGCAACCTGCAAATATTCATAGCTTGTATTTTAATTTTCATTCAATTCAAAATACTTTTAATTTTCCTTTTGATTTCTTCTTTGGCACATGTGTTCTTTATGAGTGTTGTGTTTATTTTCCAACTACTTGGACATTTTCTAGGGATTTCCTTTATTTGAAATGAGATTTTTTTTTTTCTTTGAGATGGGGTCTTGTTCTCACTGCAGCCTTGACCTCCTGGGCTCAAGGGATTGATCCTCCAGCCTCAGCCTCCCAAGTAGCTGGGACTACAGGCATGCACCACCACACCAATGCTTTTTTCTATTTTTGGAAGAGATGGGGTTTTGCCATGTTGCCCAGTCTGGTCTCAAATTCCTGGGCTCAAGCAATCCACCCACTTCAGCCTCTCAAAGTGCTGGGATTACAGGCGTGAGCCACTGCACCCAGCCTGAAATGGACTTTTTCTGAAATAACTATAACCACTATAGCTTCCTTTCAATTAGTGCTACCACGGTGTATCTTTCTCAGCTTGTTCACTTGTAACCTCTTTGTTCTTTATATTTAAAGTGGGTATTGTTTAGGCAACATTTAGTGGAGTATTGTATTATTAAACAATCTATTTCTGTCTTTTAATTGCACTTGTGTTTATACTTATATTTAATAAGATTTTTCACACAACTCAGTTTAAATCTATCAACTTACTATTTATCTTCCATTTGTCCCATCTGTTCCTTTTCTGTTTCTGTTTCAGCTTTCGTTTGGATGGAATAATTTATAGGATTCTATTTTCTCTCTTTCACTGGCTTGTTAGTGGTAGCTCGGGGTGTGTGGGAGAGATTACTGGTTGTTTTGGGTGTATAGTCGTCTTTAACATATTAGAGTCCAACTTCAGGTGACCTGTTAGCACTCCATGGACAGCAACAGAAACCTAGAATTGTGCATTTTTATCTCCTCCCCCTGCCTTTGTGCTTTTGTTGTCAGATATCGTGATTCTACATGACATGTGCTTTAGAAGACACTGTGGCCCGGCATGGTGACTCACGCCTGTAATCCCAGCACTTTGGGAGGCCAAGGCAGGTGGATCATGAGGTCAGGAGATAGAGACCATCCTGGCTAAAACAGTGAAACCCCATCTCTACTAAAAATACAAAAAATTAGCAGGGCGTGGTGGCGGCGCCTGTAGTCCCAGCTACTCGGGAGGCTGAGGCAGGAGAATAGTGTGAACCTGGGAGGTGGAGCTTGTAGTGAGCCAAGATCGCACCACTGCACTCCAGCCTGGATGACAGAGTGAGACTCCGTCTCAAAAAAAAAAAAAAAAAAGACAATGTGAATATTTTCAAATAGTCCACTATATTTTAACGATAATGCAGAAATGTTTTTCTGATTTACCCACACGGTGTGTGAAGACCCAGCTCTCCACTGAGTAACCCGTCCTTCTGCTGTAGCATTTGTCTGGTGCAGATGTGCTGGCGAGGAGTTCTTTCGGGTTTTGTTATCTGAAAAAGCCTCTCTCACGTCTACTTCTGGAAGCAGCCTTTATGGTGAAGAATTCTACGCGGGCAGTGGCTTCCTTCCCATCCTCCGCAGACACTACCCAGTGGTCTGGCTTTGGCTTCCCTTCTCCTGTGGTCCTTGTCTTTGATGTTTGGTCTTTGGCTCATTTTATTATTTTTTATGTATGTGAACTTTTAAGCAACTTTTTAGTGATGGGCCTTAGTTTATTTCCTTTCTGTTTGTTGTGTTTGCATTTCAGAGAGATTCATAGACTGTAGGTTTACAGCTTGAATCAAATTCAGACAATTTTCAGCCATAATATTTTTCTCCCCTTTCGAGAGCTGCCACTAGCATCCGTTAGGCTGCTTAAAATCTCCCCAGATCTGATGGACGATCTCTACTTTTCTGCTATTGTTTTCAGCCTGTTGGTCCCCGTGATTCATTTTGTCTACTTTACATTGCCAAGTATTCAGGTTCACTAATCTTTTCTTCTGAAATGTTTAATATTTAATCTCATTTGATGTGGTTTTTCCTTCTCAAAAATTATAGATTTTATCTCTGAAAGTTCAATTTGGGTTTTGAAATATCTTTCACGTCTCTAAATGTTCAATTATTCCTCTAGCTTAGTCATAATAGCTTTTTAAAATATTCGTCTCTGTGAATTCCCTCGTGGGTGCCATTTCTAGATAAGTGTCAATCGGTTGATTTTTCTCCCCAGGACTTGCCTTTCATCCCTGCTTCTTTATACACCTGTCTGTCTTTACCAGATACTAGGCCTCGTGAATTTACCTTGCTGGATGCTAGATATTTGTGTACCTCTTTGCAAATTTTTTAGCTATCTTCTGGAATGAAATGAAGGTATTTGAAAACAGCCTGGTTTTTTGTGGTCTTGCTCTTAAGCTTTTTTAGGTGTGACTGAAGAGCAATTAGTTTAGTATTAATGTTTCTCACTATTGAGAGAAAACTTTGTTCTGTCCTATACCAGGCGCCCCTGAAGTCTGTGGCTCATCTCTGCTGTGGCTGTGGAGATGGCCCAGTGCATCCCCTGAGGCTGCTGCCTTTAAACTTCTGAGTCCCCCTGTCCCTGGCCCCTGATGTTTTTCTTGTGGAATGTGTCAGCCAGTGCTAAGCTCAGTGCTGGTGTGGACTCTTCCAGATGCCCGGACTCTTCTCCACCCAGCCCTCTGCTCCCCAGCCCTCTGCTCCCCACCCGTCTGCTCCCCACCCCTCTGCTCCCCAGCCCTCTGCTCCCCAGCTCCCTGCTCCCCAGCCCTCTGCTCCACAGCCCTCTGCCCCCCACCCCTCTGCCCCCCAGCCCTCTGATCCCCAGCCCTCTGCTCCCCAGCCCTCTGCTCCCCACCCCTCTGCTCCCCAGCCCTCTGCTCCCCAGCCCTCTGCTCCCCACCCCTCTGCTCCCCAGCCCTCTGCTCCCCACCCCTCTGCTCCCCAGCCCTCTGCTCCCCACCCCTCTGCTCCCCACCCCTCTGCTCCCCAGCCCTCTGCTCCCCACCCCTCTGCTCCCCACCCCTCTGCTCCCCAGCTCCCTGCTCCCCAGCCCTCTGCTCCACAGCCCTCTGCCCCCCACCCCTCTGCCCCCCAGCCCTCTGATCCCCACCCCTCTGCTCCCCAGCCCTCTGCTCCCCACCCCTCTGCTCCCCACCCCTCTGCTCCCCACCCCTCTGCTCCCCAGCCCTCTGCTCCCCAGCCCTCTGCTCCCCAGCTCCTGCTCCCCAGCCCTCTGCTCCCCACCCGTCTGCTCCCCACCCCTCTGCTCCCCACCCCTCTGCTCCCCACCCCTCTGCTCCCCAGCTCCCTGCTCCCCACCCGTCTTTCAGATGCTGAGTGCCGCTGGCCTCTCTGGCTCTCACCACCTCCCTCCTGTCCTGGGAACCCCTCCAGGCAGATGCCTGTGGCTTCCATCTTTATCCCCTCGTTTCCCAGGGATCCTTGACATTTGCATCTCATGTGCAGCGTCTCCAGAACTATTGTTTTTTGTGTGTGGTTAGCTGCTTTTTACGTTGTTTTTAAAGTGGGAGAGTAAACCTAGTCCTTGTCACTCTGTCTTTGTCAGACATCCACAGAAGCTTGTTTTCAATGATGTGAAAAAAATTTCACACTTCAGCTAATCGTATCAATGTACACTATATCGCGTTACAGTTATTGCTGTAATATTGGTGTTTTCTTAAATTTTGTCCTCCATTCTAATGAGACTACTTTAAAAATAATTCCTTGGTTAATTAAGATGGAATCGTTTAGAATAAAATGAACCAAACTCAGCTTTTCTCAAGAAAGGAATAATTTTTCAGTGTTCCTGGAGATTCCCCAAATTTATGTTTCTAAAGTTATGTTTGTTCCTAAAACCTTTGAAAGTCGCGACGCTTACACATCCCATGAAGCCCCCGGGCGAGGTCACTGGCTGTGCTCTGTGCCTCTGTTTCAGGTGGCACGGCCGCGAGGCAGAGAGGCTTCCTGGGCTGCATTCGGGCACTGCAGGTGAACGGGAGGACCCTGGACCTGGAGGGAAGGGCCAAGGTCACGCCTGGTGTGGAGCCTGGGTGCCCTGGGCACTGCAGCACCTACGGACACTTGTGTCTCCATGGGGGGCAGTGCCGCGAGGGGCACCAGGGCTTCTCCTGTGACTGTGAGCTGTCTGCATACACGGGGCCCTTCTGCTCTAGTGGTGAGTGCCAGCGGGGACCGGGGCCAACAGCAGCGTGTGGGCCGTGTGGACATTTAAGATTTAATACACATTTTCTGTGTAGCTACTTCATAAAAGAATCTCAATTCCTAAATTCCTGTGGTAAATCACTGTTTTACAGCCAATCTTTTTGTTAATTAGAAGGAAATGTGACTCTACTGTAAAATTCAGTATTGATCCCGTGGTCTTATTGAAATACTATCTGTGTATTTTATGTTTTCAGATCACATATTATTAAAAATCTGCCCCATATGGCCCTTGACTGTTTCAAACCTACTCAGATGACATTATTATTTAAGGTAATACCTTCCAGTGTCACAAGAAGAATGCTTTCCAAAAATATATTTGACAAGTATAATAAATACATTTTCCATTAAATATCAAAACAACTGTAACAGAATCACTTAAACCTCTTGCTCTGGGATTTGTTGATAATCTTGTGACACAATCAAAGTGATAGGATATTTTTCAGCCTCCCTCACCTAAGAAGTTATAAGCCATGCTTTGCCAAGATAGAAGGAGCCTGTTGTAAGATGTGCATGATTCTGGGAACGTTCTGATGCATTTCATGCACCCGTGGGCACGCACGGAAAACACCGTGAAACAAACCCAGCGCTTTCACTCAGGAATCTCTGTGCAGCATCATTCATTAGGCTCTGGAGTATAAGCTTGGATGCCAAATTGGATCAGCTGTTGATTTTCAAAAGAATTAACTGCCTAGAAATAGTGAGAATACAATTATATGTTATACTTCAAGAAAACTCTGTGTTGACAAACCAAGTCATCTCTCACCATTTCAAGACACAGGAGAAATCCAGTTGTTCCAAAAAAAACCTCAGATGATGTCAGCACAGGGGCTGGTGGCACAAGCCTCCCCCGCAGAGCCAAGGGCAGCAGAGCAGGTACACATTGGGAAAGGCAGGTCACTAGAAGCAAAGGAACAGCAGAATGAAGAGCCCCTAGTGTTAATGCAATCTCTGCCCAAATCATCGCCTGATCCCCAAGCTCCACAGCCTCAGGAAGACCTTCAAAGGCCGCCGGGACAGCAGGGATCCGCGGAGGGCAACCCAGGGGGAAACAGACTCACAGCTGTATCCGGGCATGTGAACCACCCACCAGGCCAACAGCAGGGCAAAGATGCAGAGGCAGCAAGGGCAAGAAAGAAGGGCGTTTGCAGCGAGGCTTCTGCAGTGTCCAGCTGTCAGTGATACACACCACACATGCGGACAATCAGGAAATTATACTCCACATGCATGGGGAAGATGTGGTTACTGAGAACTGACTCTGAATGGCCCATTTTTCTCACTGTTTCAGCAAAGACACTGAATAGATATTATATATTACTGCAAGAAAATGAAGTTCAGAGAAATAAAGAAAATACACCGTCAATGAATAAGCTGATGCAGAACGCCAACAGAGCAATGGAAACCATTTTAAAAACAGATGGAAATGTAGTAGCTGAAAGATACGATTACTGAAATTGAAGAACCAATTGTGTATTCCTGTGGGCTCAACAGAAGAAAGAATCGGTGAACTTGAAGACAGGGCAATAAGAATCCCCCAACTGAAGACTAGAAAGGAAAGATTCTGAGGGAAAGTGAAGAGAGCCTCGGAGTCTTGTGTGACCACATCAATAATTAAATAATTTAATTCTAAACAATCCATGCGTCAAAGAGCTCATAAATGAAATTAGAAAATAGTTAAATGGACCAATAATAAAAATACACCACATCAAAATTTGACTGCTAACATCTACAGCAGTATTTAGAGGAAAATTTTTGACTTCAAATTATTCTATTACAAAAGTATGCACGTGTAAACTTCATAATATAAGTTTCTAATTTAGGAATTTAGAGAAAGAAAACCAAAATAAACCCAAAAAAATTAAAAGAGAAAAACAGATGGAGTAGACATAAATGAAATAGAATGCAGACAAAGGAAAAGATCCCTGTAATTTAAAGCTGGTTCATGGAGGAGACCCATAAAATTGATAAATTTCTACGAAGACACTCAGGAAAAAGAAAAAGGGAAAGAGGACACAAATTGCAAATGTCAGGAAAAAAGATATGATGTCAAGGCGGAGGCTACAGACTCCAAAATAACCATGGAATATCATGGACAGCATCATGACAATAAATGTCACGACTTAGATTAAATGGGCACATTCCTTTAAAAGCACAAATTATAAAACTGACCTACAAAGAATGAATAACTTGTAACCACCAACAAATTTCTAAGTAAAGACCTTCTCAGCATAAAAATCTCAGGTTCAGATAATTAACTATTAATTTCTAGAGAATATTTAAGAAAACAACAATATCAGTCTGACACAAGCTGTTTAAGCATAGAAAGGAGGAGAGGATATGCTCCAGCACCATTTCTAAGCCAACTAAAGATCTGATGCTAAAATCTAATAAAAACTCTACAAGAAACAAAACAAAACAAAAAAAAACCATAGAAATATTCTTCATAAATACTGTCACGAAAATGCTTAACAAAATATTAGCAAAGCAAATCAAATAATGTGAAAAAAATAACACCCCAATCAAGTGGTATTAATATCAGAAGTGCAATGCTGTTTTAATTTTCAAAAATAAGGACAGTCATTATATTAACAGAATAAAAGCTATAAAATAGATAATAATTTCAATATTAGTGGAAAGCACATTTGACAAAGTACAGTATGACAACTAGGAATATAAGGCAAGTTTTCTAACTACATCTAACATCCTTTTACTAAAATGCTTACTGGTGAAAGAAAGAATGGTTTCCCCTAAAACGGAGAAAAAAGCAAAGATCTCTATTCCCACCACATCTTTTCAACATGCTGCAAGTCTTAGCCAGTGCAATAAGACAAGAAAAACAATAAAAAGCCACACATTGGAAAGAAAACATAAAATTCTCTTTAGTCATAGGACATATAATCATCTAAATAGAAAGTCATAAGGAATTTACAAAAACCTACTACAACTAAAAGTCACAGAAAATAATATACAAAAATTAACTGAATTTCTATTACTATTACAACAATGGGACAATTTTCAAAATAAAATTCTATTTAAAATATGGTAAAAAGTATATTTACAGATAAATGGAACAAAATAAGTATAAGACTTCTACAGTGGAAACTGCTAAAATAAATGAACGTCTAAGCAAATGAGGAATATAACGTGTGGATGAACTGGAAGACTCGGTGTTATTACTGTATCATTTCTTCCCAAGCTGATCTATAAACTGAGTGTTCCAAACAAAATTTTAGCCTAATTGTCCAGCTAATTCTAATTTTAAATGGAAATGCATGGGATCATGATTTTGCAAGGCATTTTTTTAAAAAGAAGAGACAGAAGATACATACATGTATATACAGATATAGATATAGACATAGACACAGATATTCAATTGATTCTTCATAAAGTGTTAAGGGCATTCAAAGGGGAAAAGGGGAGTGTTTTAAGCTATGGTTCTAGAACAACAGGATAGCCAAATGGGAAAAATATACATAACGTAACCCTTAACCCATACCACTACAAATATTCACTTGAAATGGGTAGTAGACACAAATGTAAAAGCTAAATTTATAAAATCTCTAGTAGAAAACCAAGGAGAACATAATTGTCACCCTGAGGTAGGAAAGCTTCTTAGAATACAAAAAAAAAACCATGAATCATAACGAATTTTATCAAAGTTAATGACTTTCACTCATTAAAAAACTACTATGATAGAACGATTAAAGTACTCACATAATGGGTATCTACTGAAAGACTTAGGTCCAGAATATATGAGTAACTTTTACAATCATAACTCCACCAGAGAAGAGCTCCAGATGCAAATGGGCACCCGAGCAGTGCCCAGCGTCGTCGTCATGAGGGAAATGCAGGTTAAACCCATATTTAGATAGCACTGCACAAGCACTTGAATGGCTACAATTGTGAAGACTGACGCTGCCAAGTATAGGAACTGATGCAGAGGAACTGGAATTCCAATGCACACTTGGTAGGAGGGTAAACGTTAGTGACTTTGGAGAACTCCTGGGCAGTTTCTGAAACATCAATGATTCTGCTATCCGTGATTCTTAAGTGTTCATACAACACAAGTGAAAATGTAGAGGTCCCTGAAGTTGCACACAATGGCCTACGGCAGATTGATTCATCATCTCCAAACCTGGAAGCAACGTGAACATTAGGAAGATTGAAGGGGCGAGCGGATCTGTGCCTGGTCCGGTCAGGTCCTACTCTTCCACAACACGGATCAATGTAAAATCCTCACATTCAGTGAAAGACGTCAAGCAAAAAGAAACAGGGAGCTCCCAATGTGATTCCATTTACGTGAAATCCAGAAAATGCCAATCAGTGTGGAGTCACAGAAAGCAAATCTGTGAGGCCTGGCACGGGCTTCTGGAAGGAGTCACTGCCAAGAGCACAGAGGAGAAACGTGGGGATGTTCTGATACTGGTCGTGGCGGTAATTTCATGGGTGGATACATCTCCTAAATCTCTTCCTATTTTCCTCTACTTGGGTGTGTTTATTGTACTAATTATGTCCCACTAAAGTCAATGAAAAGGTGTTTTGTCCCTTCCACATGAGCACAGATCTCACTTTTTAATGGTTCCATATCTGCCTCTGTTCAGTGCAATCAGAATGTTTTTACTGTATTGTGAACATTGTATTGTGGACAATGAAGAAGTGACCGGTGTGACCTGGGGGTGGGTTTGGGGGAGGTCACTCAATGACTCTGCCCGCCAGGTAGGAACCTGCTGTAGCCAGAGAGAGAAGAGCCGGTGCAGTGTTGGAACCACCAGTGCCCTCTTGTCCCCACGTACACACACTGCATCTGGGGTCATGTCACTTAATGCCAAAAACACCCTTTCAGGAACTGACATAGGAACAGCTGCATGGCCCTCTGGTGCCTGGACGTGCAGATGACCACTTTCCTCTCCCAAATTCGTGGTATTGCCCTCAGCTCACCATACATTCGAAGAGCTCACCTGTGTGAAAGCCCAAAGGAGAAAGGAAGGAATTGAACCCCCAGAAACTGGTTTCAAGCCAATCCCATAACCTCTATGACTCTCTCAATAAGATATTAGTAAAATTATTGCATAACTTTGTCAATTTATAGGTTACGTCCCATATGTCTTACTGGCTTATCCTGCTCAATTAGGCCTTCAAGATGCCACATCCCCTGTTATAGAAGAACTGCTCACTTTCCATGACCACGCTCTTGTAATTATTTCCCTAATTAGTTCCCTGGCCCTATATATTGTTTCCCCAATACTGACAACAAAACTAACTCATACTAGCACCATAGATGCCTGAGAAATCGAGACTGTGTGAACTATTTTACCTGCCATTATCCTAATTTTAATTGCGGGTCATCAAGTAAGTCAGACTGAAATAACTGGACATTTGTCCCTGGGTCTTTGAAGGGCAAGGGGCCCTCTGAGCTCCTTCCTTTGTCACTCCTGGAGAAGACTGCCACTGCAAAGCGAAGCCTCACATGGAGGGAGATTTAAGGAAGGAAACTGAAGACCCAGCAGGTGATGGCCAGGAAGCCTGGCTTTCGCCTGAAACCAAACAGGAGCGCGTTGAGCTTGAAATGGTGACACTGCCCAGAAGGAAAAGCCTGTGTGATTTTAACACTGAGACTTAATAAGGACTGTCCTGAAGTTTGCAACGGTCAACTGTGATAGTCATTTCCGAGATACATGAGCATTTGTTAGGCCAATTTCTACTCTTCTATTTATTCAAATGTTCTAAAAATAGGTATACTTGCAATGAGCCTTTAGTCTTTAACAACTTAAAATGTGCGTATTATTTCAGAGATTTCTGCGTATTTTGGAACTGGCTCCTCGGTGACTTACAATTTTCAGGAATATCATTCCCCAAGTACGAATGCCAGCTCCCACGCTGCCTCATTCCAGGGAGAGACGACGTTGACCCAAGAGACAATCGCATTCAGCTTCCGAACAGTGCAAGCCCCGAGCCTGCTGCTTTACGTGGACTCTTTCTACAAGGAGTACCTTTCCGTCATCCTTGCCAAAAACGGTGAGTGTCGTTTTGGTGTCAGAAAAGTAAATTATTACAACTGTAATATGACGACATGTTTAATGCCTCTCAAATTACAAATGAGGAAAAAATTGTGTGTTCTCCAAATGTCATTTTGCTTGTATGTGTTTTATTTTGTGGGACTATACAAACATTGTTGCAACAGTGTCATTTCAGTAATTGTGTAAGATCCTTCTGTAAAGTTTTTGATAAATTTGTATATCTCATGTAAAGAGAACTCGTATTATCCCTGGAAGGTCTTCATTAGAAGTATAAGGTGTCTGGTTATATGTGGAAAATATTTTCACCTTCTTCTAAGGAAAGAGGAGAAGAATTGATATGGTGGGAGCCTGGCAAGGCAGGTGTCCTGAGCAGCAGTGTCCTGCCCTGTCCAGGGTCCTGTGGTGGGCCCGGCCCCATCCACTCGACAATGAAAGTACAAAATCACAAGCGTCAACCAGCTCCTGCGTTTCCACGGTGGGAAATAAGGCCCAGCTTTAAGCATCTTAACTGGAATGTGAGGGTGCTGATTTAATATCTGGAGGAACTTACAAAAATGTCTGGCTAACAGCATTTTAGTACCTCCCCTGTGGCCATCAGAACACAGGTCTGAATCTCTTGAAGCAGGTAAAGCTGTCAGGAGCTATGGATCCACAGAGACCTTGCCTCCTGGCAAAAACATATCACAGTACTCACATCCCCATGTCCTGGTTACCGATGTGATTTTGGAACTGAAACCTACTGCGTGTCAAACTAACATGCTGCCATTTCAAGTGCAGCCCCGGGGTTCTGGCATCCAAAGTATGTATGGCTGGAACCTCGAACGCAGTAGGAACATTTCGTCCCCAGGCTGGAAGGAACCTGGAAAGTGGTCGCCTTCTTAACCAGTAAAGAGGCAACGAGGATGGAGTCTAGGCCAGCGTTTAATCTGTGGCCACCACCAGCTGGACTCATCACAGCCCCTCAGGAACTCAGCATCTTCACAGCAACGCATGTTTCAGGGCCGGCTGTGCGTGTCTCTTATTCACCTTTCAGAATCTTGGATGTGCACATAAAGGAGACGGGAACAGACAAACAGAAAATGACAACGTTTCACAAAGTTGCAACTTCAGCATTCCCTAATTCTTTTTGCAAAAGTGGCGTGGGCTTTAGACTCCAGCACGTGTGCGATTCAGGTGTTCACTTTTAGAAAATTAAGCGTTGTAGGAAAGAGAGTTCTTGTTAACAGCAACTTTGCCTTGACCTTAAAATAGCAAGATGTGAGCAGCGGTGGCCCCCGGCGGCACCAGGAGGCAACGCGTTTCCAGGGAGAGCGAGGACTGGGAACACAGGGGCGCATCCCAGTGGAACCCTAAACGGACTCCATCTGCAAAACATTCCTCTGGAAGCACACGAATAGTAACAGCTTCTCTGGAGTGCGGAAAGGCAGCTGTAAAAATATCTCGTTGTTTCAAAAATGTTCTATTTTCCCCTTTAGGGAGTTTGCAGATCAGGTACAAGCTGGACACACATCAAGACCCTGATGTCGTTAACTTGAATTTCAGGAACATGGCAGATGGGAAACTTTACCACGTGAACATCAGCAGAGAAGACGGGGTGGTCTTTGTCGAGGTAACGGCTCGTTCCTGGCATAAGCCCCACTCGCGGCATCACCTAAGGCAGGATTTTCGTAATGAAGCCCAGTGCTGGTCCCTTTTCTGTTTTATTCTCAGGTGTCATGGGCAAAAAGTCAAAACTGTGTCTGGTATTTTTTATTTTTTAGCAATGGAAATCTGCCACTTGCAGTATAAAATTATGCTTATTCACATGTCTCCTTATTTAATTTACTAACTAGGGAAATGCCTGTTTTCTCACGGTAAATTGCTAGAAGTTTTTGTTATTGTCGTTGTTGTTGTTTTGTTCCATTTTGTTTTTTGAGATGGAGTCTCGCTCTGTCACCCAGGCTGGAGTGCAGTGGTGCGATCTCAGCTCACTGCAACCTCTGCCTCCTGGGTTCAAGTGATTCTCCTGTCTCAGCCTCCCTTGTAGCTGGGATTACAGGTGTGTGCCACCATGCCCAGCTAATTTTTGTATTTTTAGTAGAGATGGGGTTTTGCTATGTTGGTCAGGCTGGTAGTGAACTCCCGACCTCGTGATCCACCCACCTCAGGCTCCCCAAGTGCTGGGGTTACAGCCGTGAGCTGCCGCGCATGGCTGGAAGTTTTTTTGTGTGTGTGTGTGTTTTTTAAATAATTCTCCAGTGGGAATCCATGGGAACAAATGTTATAATAATTTAAAGAGACAGCTTATATAGAAAATGATGATGATTCCATTTTTGTTCTAACAAAGTAGAGTTGATTTGCTGCAGAGCGAGTGAAATTGTGCACTGTCAGGATTTTGAAGGGAGTTTTGGCATATTTTCTGTCTATATGGAAAGCATCATTTGGCTTCATATTTCCGGCTTTATTTTGAGATTTGTAGACGTTCTGGTCTTGAACCCAACACCCTGGGCTTTTGCATCTTTTTGTGGATTCTGTAGATTCCTGGTGGTTTGCATTGTATGGAAATAGCTAGGGCTGTGAAGAAAATGGGAGAGAAGGGGCTGCGGGGAAGGGCATCTGCGAGATGAAAACTGTGGAGCCGGTGCCCATCAGGGTCCTGAGCTCCCGGAGCGGTTCTGTCTCCACGGGGCACCACAGGCTTTTCATCAGTTTTGTTTTATTATCTTCCTTCACTTCCTGCCTTATCCCTGGTGAATCAGAACATCTGGTGTTTGTTTCTCCCGGGCAGGTGAACCAGAAAACTTGGAGACAAGTGAGTCTGTCATCAGGTACAGCATTCAGAGCCATCAAATCCCTGGTGCTGGGCAGGATTTTAGGCAAGTAGACACCCCCCAACCCCGGGTCGCAGGGCTGGTCACCAATACACAGGGCTGGCCACCAAAACACAGGGCTGGCCACCAATGCACGGGGCTGGCCACCAATGCACGGGGCTGGTCACCAATGCACGGGGCTGGTCACCAATACACGGGGCTGGTCACCAATACACAGGGCTGGCCACCAATGCACGGGCTGGTCACCAATGCACGGGGCTGGCCACCAATGCACGGGGCTGGTCACCAATGCACGGGGCTGGTCACCAATGCACGGGGCTGGCCACCAATGCACGGGGCTGGTCACCAATACACGGGGCTGGTCACCAATGCATGAGCTGGTCACCAATACACAGGGCTGGCCACCAATGCACGGGGCTGGTCACCAATGCATGGGCTGGTCACCAATACAGGGGGCTGGCCACCAATGCACGGGGCTGGCCACCAATGCACAGGCTGGCCACCAATGCACGGGGCTGGCCACCAATACACGGGGCTGGTCACCAATACACGGGGCTGGTCACCAGTGCACGGGGCTGGTCACCAATACAAGGGGCTGGCCACCAATGCACGGGCTGGTCACCAATGCATGAGCTGGTCACCAATACAGGGGGCTGGTCACCAATACAAGGGGCTGGCCACCAATGCACGGGGCTGGCCAACCAGTGCACGGGGCTGGTCACCAATGCACGGGGCTGGCCACCAATGCACGGGGCTGGCCACCAATGCATGGGGCTGGTCACCAGTGCACAGGCCGGGCCCTCGTTTCATGTCAGTTACACCACTGGTGTCAGTCAAGGCAGAGATTGTACTTGTGTCTTCATGCGCACACAGTCGTGAGGGGCTGCAGGAGAAATGCTTCTGAGGCGATGGGTGAGGAGCTCCACGCTTCTCTCTCTGGCAGCCAAGCACAAGGGGCTGCAGTGATTTTCTCATACACCAAAGAAAAACAGTGATCAAGGCAGGCATGTAGTTCACAGGTCACAGATCAAACAGTGCAGATTCAGAAACCCTGCCTGGATGACATTTGAGAGGAGAAATTTAGAAACCATGTGTTTGCTGCCCTGAAGTTCAGGCCAGTGGCACAGGCCCCACTCGGCTTTGCAGGCAAGTGCAGGCATTTCTGAATGACCTGAGTCTCATCACACTGCCAATGACGTGGGGCGTAGTGCAGGACAGGGAGGCGGGGCCATGGCGGGTCACATGCCACAGCTCCCTTCCCGTTTCCACGCCGCACAGTGAAAAGGCCGGCACATTGTCTTAAAGTTTGCTTTTTTAAAAAATTAATGAGCTGGGGGCGGAGCAAGATGGCCGAATAGGAACAGCTCCAGTCTCCAACTCCCAGCGCGAGCGACACAGAAGACCGGTGATTTCTGCATTTTCAACTGAGGTACTGGGTTCATCTCACTGGGGAGTGCCGGACGATCGGTGCTGGTCAGCTGCTGCAGCCCGACCAGCGAGAGCTGAAGCAGGGCGAGGCATTGCCTCACCTGGGAAGCGCAAGGGGGAAGGGAATCCCTTTTCCTAGCCAGGGGAACTGAGACACACAACACCTGGAAAATCGGGTAACTCCCACCCCAATACTGCGCTTTAAGCAAACAGGCACACCAGGAGATCATATCCCACACCTGGCCGGGAGGGTCCCACACCCACGGAGCCTCCCTCATTGCTAGCACAGCAGTCTGTGATCTACCGGCAAGGCAGCAGCGAGGCTGGGGGAGGGGCGCCCGCCATTGCTGAGGCTTAAGTAGGTAAACAAAGCTGCTGGGAAGCTCAAACTGGGTGGAGCTCACAGCAGCTCAAGGAAACCTGCCTGTCTCTGTAGACTCCACCTCTGGGGACAGGGCAATAACAAACACAGCCGAAACCTCTGCAGACGCAAACGACTCTGACAGCTTTGAAGAGAGCAGTGGATCTCCCAACACGGAGGTTGAGATCTGAGAAGGGACAGACTCCCTGCTCAAGTGGGTCCCTGACCCCTGAGTAGCCTAACTGGGAGACATCCCCCACTAGGGGCAGTCTGACACCCCACACCTCACAGGGTGGAGTACACCCCTGAGAGGAAGCTTGCAAAGCAAGAATCAGACAGGTACACTCGCTGTTCAGAAATATTCTATCTTCTGCAGCCTCTGCTGCTGATACCCAGGCAAACAGGGTCTGGAGTGGACCTCAAGCAATCTCCAACAGACCTACAGCTGAGGGTCCTGACTGTTAGAAGGAAAACTATCAAACAGGAAGGACACCTACACCAAAACCTCATCAGTACATCACCATCATCAAGACCAGAGGCAGATAAAACCACAAAGATGGGGAAAAAGCAGGGCAGAAAAGCTGGAAATTCAAAAAATAAGAGCGCATCTCCCCCGGCAAAGGAGCGCAGCTCATCGCCAGCAACGGATCAAAGCTGGACGGAGAATGACTTTGACGAGATGAGAGAAGAAGGCTTCAGTCCATCAAATTTCTCAGAGCTAAAGGAGGAATTACGTACCCAGCGCAAAGAAACTAAAAATCTTGAAAAAAAAGTGGAAGAATTGATGGCTAGAGTAATTAATGCAGAGAAGGTCATAAACGAAATGAAAGAGATGAAAACCATGACACGAGAAATACGTGACAAATGCACAAGCTTCAGTAACCGACTCAATCAACTGGAAGAAAGAGTATCTGCGATTGAGGATCAAATGAATGAAATGAAGCGAGAAGAGAAACCAAAAGAAAAAAGAAGAAAAAGAAATGAACAAAGCCTGCAAGAAGTATGGGATTATGTAAAAAGACCAAATCTACGTCTGATTGGGGTGCCTGAAAGTGAGGGGGAAAATGGAACCAAGTTGGAAAACACTCTTCAGGATATCATCCAGGAGAACTTCCCCAACCTAGTAGGGCAGGCCAACATTCAAATCCAGGAAATACAGAGAACGCCACAAAGATACTCCTCGAGAAGAGCAACTCCAAGACACATATTGCCAGATTCACCAAAGTTGAAATGAAGGAAAAAATCTTAAGGGCAGCCAGAGAGAAAGGTCAGGTTACCCACAAAGGGAAGCCCATCAGACTAACAGCAGATCTCTCAGCAGAAACTCTCCAAGCCAGAAGAGAGTGGGGGCCAATATTCAACATTCTTAAAGAAAAGAATTTTAAACCCAGAATTTCATATCCAGCCAAACTAAGTTTCCTAAGTGAAGGAGAAATAAAATCCTTTACAGATAAGCAAATGCTTAGAGATTTTGTCACCACTAGGCCTGCCTTACAAGAGACCCTGAAGGAAGCACTCAACATGGAAAGGAACAACCGGTACCAGCCATTGCAAAAACATGCCAAAATGTAAAGACCATCGAGGCTAGGAAGAAACTGCATCAACTAACGAGCAAAATAACCAGTTAATATCATAATGGCAGGCTCAAGTTCACACATAACAATCTTAACCTTAAATGTAAATGGACTAAATGCTCCAATTAAAAGACACAGACTGGCAAACTGAATAAAGAGTCAAGACCCATCAGTCTGCTGTATTCAGGAGACCCATCTCACATGCAGAGACATACATAGGCTCAAAATAAAGGGATGGAGGAAGATTTACCAAGCAAATGGAGAACAAAAAAAAGCGGGGGTTGCAATACTAGTCTCTGATAAAACAGACTTTAACCATCAAAGATCAAAAGAGACAAGAAGGCCATTACATAATGGTAAAGGGATCAATTCAACAGGAAGAGCTAACTATCCTAAATATATATGCACCCAATACAGGAGCACCCAGATTCATAAAGCAAGTCCTTAGAGACTTACAAAGAGACTTAGACTCCCATACAATAATAATGGGAGACTTCAACACTCCACTGTCAACATTAGACAGATCAACGAGACAGAAAGTTAACAAGGATATCCAGGAATTGAACTCATCTCTGCAGCAAGCAGACCTAATAGACATCTATAGAACTCTCCACCCAAATCAACAGAATATACATTCTTCTCAGCACCACATCGTACTTACTCCAAAATCGACCACGTAATTGGAAGTAAAGCACTCCTCAGCAAATGTACAAGAACAGAAATTATAACAACTGTCTCTCAGACCACAGTGCAATCAAACTAGAACTCAGGACTAAGAAACTCAATCAAAACAGCTCAACTACATGGAAACTGAACAACCTGCTCCTGAATGACTACTGGGTACATAATGAAATGAAGGCAGAAATAAAGATGTTCTTTGAAACCAATGAGAACAAAGATACAACATACCAGAATCTCTGGGACACATTTAAAGCAGTGTGTAGAGGGAAATTTATAGCACTAAATGCCCACAAGAGAAAGCAGGAAAGATCTAAAATTGACACTCTAACATCGCAATTAAAAGAACTAGAGAAGCAAGAGCAAACACATTCGAAAGCTAGCAGAAGGCAAGAAATAACTAAGATCAGAGCAGAACTGAAGGAGATAGAGACACAAAAAACTCTCCAAAAAATCAATGAATCCAGGAGTTGGTTTTTTGAAAAGATCAACAAAACTGACAGACCACTAGCAAGACTAATAAAGAAGAAAAGAGAGAAGAATCAAATCGACGCAATTAAAAATGATAAAGGGGATATCACCACCGACCCCACAGAAATACAAACTACCATCAGAGAATACTATAAACACCTCTACGCAAAGAAACTGGAAAATCTAGAAGAAATGGATAATTTCCTGGACACTTACACTCTTCCAAGACTAAACCAGGAAGAAGTTGAATCCCTGAATAGACCAATAGCAGGCTCTGAAATTGAGGCAATAATTAATAGCCTACCAACCAAAAAAAGTCCAGGACCAGATAGATTCACAGCTGAATTCTACCAGAGGTACAAGGAGGAGTTGGTACCATTCCTTCTGAAACTATTCCAATCAATAGAAAAAGAGGGAATCCTCCCTAACTCATTTTATGAGGCCAACATCATCCTGATACCAAAGCCTGGCAGAGACACAACAAAAAAAGAGAATTTTAGACCAATATCCCTGATGAACATCGATGTAAAAAT